TACCCTTACTATTTCCTAAAAGTCTAATAGTAAAATTAAATCCCACCGTAGCCCTACTAGGATAATTATAATATTATATACTTCCTTCGCTAGTATTATATTTAATATAAAATTACTAATTTTAATATAAAACTGAAATAACTATTGCTATTAATTAATATTAAGGTTCTATTTATAAAATTAAGGGTAATTAAGGATAATTTCTATAGTTGGAAATTTAATTATAATAAATATAATTCGCTTCGTTTATTTAGTACTATAGGAATTATATATTCTAATAAAATAAATAGTTGTACTATATATAGGAATAGGTTGAAGGGAGAAGTTAATAAAATAATAAGGTACTAGATTAATTTTCGCGTTTAATAGAAGTAAATATTTATTAATTAAGTTTAATTCTATATTTAAATTTATTAACCTTTATATATTCTACTAATTTCTATAAATCCTTACTAATAACCTTATTTCTAAGTATATTTATAATTTATTTGTATTATTTTAAATAATTATAATTGCTATTCTAACTATAATTAATTTAATATTTACTCTATATAAAAGGGTATTTATAGGGATAGGGTAATTCCGTACTAAATAGCTAACCTAATTGTAATTATAATAAATTTAATTCGGGTATATTATTATAAAATAATTTATTATATTATATTTATAATAGGTATTTAATAATTTCAATTAAATATATTAATTATACGTATAATTTTTCTAATAATAAAGGAAATAAATAAAATTAGGATTTATTTAAAAAGTAGTAGGAGGGCGATAGGGAAAATCGGAGGGGTTATTATTATAGGATAATTAAAAAGGAATATTCAAAGAGGAAATAGGAGGGTATAAAAATAAAGAAGATAATAAATTATATTTTAAAAATATTTAATATTAATAACGTAATACGGACGGTTTAATATTTTTTAAACCTTCTAGCCGTTCTACGTACGCTATTGCTTTATTTATTATATTAATACTGATTATTAAAAGGACGCTTTATTTAAAAAAGGGGTATAATTAGTTAGTCTAAATAATAACCCGAATATATTCCGGTTAATTATATAATAAATTAAATTTTTTAGTATAATAGCGGTTATAGAAGGTATAAATAGTTTCTGAAGTACTTTACTATATATATTCAAATTTATTGAGAGTAGATTATTTAATAGTTTGGGTATTATTATTATATTCGGTTTTTAAGAAGGTATAGAGGTTACTCTACGTCGGCGTATTACGAATAATATTATAACCGGACTTATTATAAAAAATTAATATATATTTAATTTATATATTTTTAGGATTACCTTTAATATAACTAATAGTAAATAAGAAGGAAGTATAAAGGTATTTTTAAAAATATATATTAATATTATAGAGGTAATTCTATAATTATAAAAAACTTTTATTAATAAATTTAATAATATTATATTTAGAACGGTATTTAATATGGGCTAGTATAGCCGCGGTTAGTAAAGGGATAATTATAACGATAGCCGCCGATAAAGGGGTAGTAAGGGGAGATATAGTAGAAATACGAATTTAATTATAAAAGAGGTAGTTCTAATAATAAAATCTAGTAAAGATAAGGGGGTAGTTTCCTATTGAATTTTATTTAGCAAGGCCTATAAATACGAATTATTTTTACTAAGATATATATAAAGGGAGGTAATTAAGGAGGAATTTAATTATAGTAAATTAAAATTTAAATAATTATTATTTATATGTAAATTTATTAATTTCCGAAATTTAGAAATATAAATAAAGAACTTAGAATAATATAAGGGGGTAATTTTTATTATTATCTTCTTTAATAAATTCTATAGTAGGCTAATATTATTATAATAAAGGCGGAGGAGGTTAGATTATTTTAATTATAGTAATTATAGGAATAGTAATACGAAAGGGATAAGGAGTAATTTTAGTGGTATAAGAAATAGATTAGCTATTACGTATATATATTTTAATAATATCAGTTTAATTCTTAAAAGAAGAGTTATTAATTTATTAAGAACGTAGGCGAAAAGTAGGTTGAGGTGACTATAATTGTAGCTATATATAGGGGACGGTAAATTAAAGGTTAATTTAAAAATATATTGATAATTACCGATTATAATAAATTACGCTCCGTTAAACCTCTTTTATACCTATATAAATTCTATTTATCCGCTAACGAGTATTATAGAGCCCCGTACTAATCTAACGCTTCGGTATAGTATTAGATTATCCTTCCTACGAGCCCGACCCAATATGGGCGTTATTGTTAGTAATCCTACACATTAGTTAACGAAGGGGAGCAGTAGCCGTTGAGGTGCTTCCGTATACGAGCTCTGAGCCTCTTAATATTAAAATACTATTTACTATAGGTTTATAAACCCGCTAGCGGCTGTCCTTATAAAGCTAGCCTTTTAAGTATTCAGTTATACTTCTCTTCCTTCTCCTTTATATAATTACGTATAATTATATCTACTACCTACCCTTTCCCTATAATATATTAAAAAGAAATATATTTATTTCTATATTTTATATTTTTATATTATATATATATATATATATTTAAATATAATATTAAATTAATAAGTTTATAAAAAACTAAAGATTTTTTTAATTTTATTATTTCTTTTAGTATTACTAAATTCTATAAAATATATTTATTTTATACTTTAATGTATTTTATATAAGTTTCTTTATATATACTTTTCTAATAAAAAATTTTATAAATATAAATATTATTAAAAGTAATTAAAAATATATAATAGGTTTTGAATAAGAAATGTATATTTTTATATTTAAGATTTTTAAAAATATAATATATATTAAAATAAAAACCCCTCTTTTTATTTAATAATAAAAGTTTATTTATTTGGAATAAAATTTTAATTTAATAGATAAGAGTACTTTACTTATAGGCTTTAAATAATTTTCATTTATATTATATTTAAATTTAAAATTATTAGAAAATCAAATATTTATTTTATTAAAAAACATATTATTATTCTTTTAAACTCTTAAATACTATATTAGTTTTCTTAAATATTAAGAAAGTATTTTAATATAAAATAAATATTAAAGAATATTTATATTAAATATAAGAATTCCAATTTTATATTTTATATTACTTTTAAAGAAGCTTTAAAGTTCTAATTCTATAATCCGTATATATAGTTTTTATTCAATATTACTATTATTATTTTATTATATTTTTAATATATAATATATATTTTAATTATATTTATTAAACTTTTCTTTTCTTTTAATTATAATATTCTAATTATTTACTCTTGGTTTATATTTAAATATATATATAAAGGATACTATATTAAAAATTATTTATTTTATTATTAGTTTATAAAGAAAATATTAATTTTAAATAAATATAATAAATAAATTTAAATACTATAATATATAATATTTCTAAAACGTTTTAGAATAATTATAATATTTTAAATTATTGTAAATTTTAAAAAAAATTAAAATACAATTTCTTTAAATAATATTATATTTATAATAAAAGAAAATATATTTATATATATATATATATCCCTTTTTTAAAATTTAATAAAATATATTATATTTTATTTTAATATAAGAAAAAAAAGAAAGGAAAATTAAATATTTTTGTATAATATAATATATAAACGTTTTGAATATTATACTTTCTTTTAAAAAATATAAATTTTATTTAAAACATTTATAAATATTAAAGTTTATACTATATAAGGTAGGTACTAATAGATATTTTTAATATCTACTATATCTCGCTCTTACGAATAACAATCTTAGTACAAACCTAAGCTAAAACCTTCTCCAAATCGCGGACCTTATAACTACGGATAATTTAAGCCAAAAACGGAACAATATAATTATTCTTCTTCTCTTACTCTTTTTCGTACTTTATAAATATCAAAAGTTAGTTACTATTATATATATAATAAAAAAAAAATATAATATACCCTTACGAATATTATAATTAGTACCCTCGCCTTTATAAAAATAATTAGTATAAGCGCGCTTAGAAAGTTTAGTACCGGTAACAATATATTTCTCAAAGGGGCTATAATTATTGATTTTAATATATTTATTACAGGCGCGAAGGTTAGTACAACCTAAAAAAAAATAGCGGGCTAAATTTACGAAATACTTATAACAATCCCACTTTAATTTTAATATAATTTCGCTAATTTTAATCTAAAAGATTTTAAAATTGAAATTACGGGTAATAATCTATATTCTTTAATTAGGATTAATTATTTCTAATTAGAATTAATTAATACTAATAAATATTTCTTACTTTATATTCAAATAAGATTTTATAGACCTTATTAATATTATAATTAAAAAGTTTCTTAATAGTAAAACGAATAGCGTCGATATCGTCTTATTCCTAATCCCCTATCTTCATTTTATATATCGCCGATATACCCTTAGCTAATAATATTTGGTAGTATTTGAAGGGGCGTAATTATGCTATTAAATCGGTATTATCAGGGTATTTATTATTAAATATAGTTGCTATATACTATATTAGTATAGGAATAATATATATTATATATACGTACGGGATATGCTTACCGATTAATTGTTGTTGTTTGTAGATATTATCTTTTGATGTGTTGTTATTGGGGTTAAAGTGTTAAGAGTGTCTTGCTGTACGAGGATATATGAGAAAGTGGGGTTTAAGGAAGGTGAAATGCACTTGAACTATATTTAATTACTAAACTGAATTTACATTAACGTGCCCAGGCGCGAACCTATTGCTTGTAGCTGGTACGGACCCTTTTTCTTTCAATTTTTGGATAAACGACCCAGGTTATACTTAGGCCACTGTAGTAAACCCCGGACTCCTTCGCGAGCCCGTCAATCCGTCGGTCTGGTGTGTTCACCAAGAAGTCTAGGTTAATTTTCTTTGGGATCGTTGGGGGTCTTCTCGTCAGCAGTTGGTGGTGTTACTTCTTTTTCACTTTTTCAGAAATTCCCACAAATCTGGTTGCCTGCCGTGCCCGTCATCCAACTTAACTGCCCACTTCCAAGCCCACCGCAAAACTGCTGCACTGTACCGACGTTTGTTGAGGTGGCTGCGCTGCAAGAACCAAACACACTTCCACTTCCTTGCCGCCGTCGCATTTGAACCGCTCTTTCAGCTGCTGCAACCTGCAACCTCACACATCCCGTCACAGCGAACCGCTCGCCGCAAAAAAGACCCCTTTTCTTTGCTGTCGACATCATCGTCTTTATCCGTCGCATTTTTAATTGTATTTTCCTTTTCATCTTGGCCTTTTATTCTCGCGATACAAACGCCCAACTAGAGTCTATACTTTGCTCTCCGTATACATAAATCATAATCATGTCGCGAGGTCTCCGACTTCGATTTCCCCGGCCGAGGGTAAGTCTTTTTTCGTATCCTCCAATCCCCAGCCATCGTGACCACCCTCACCATCAGGCATCACCGTGACGCCATGCTAACAACAGCACGCGCAATACATAGACCTTCCTCGGCTTCATGTCCCTCCAAACCGGCACCGAACTCATCGCCCTCTCGCTCGTCTTCAACCGCATCACAGGCATCTACGGCATCCTCGCCCTCTTCACCGGCTTCCCGCTCTCCCTCCTGCAAATCAGTCTCTACCTGCTCTCCGTCTTGGTCGTCGGCTCGCTGGCGTACCTGATCCCCCACATCCGACACCAATCGCCCTTCCAGAACCTGGCGCTCGCTTTTCTCTATGGCATCGACACCCTCCTCAACTTTGCCTACGTCACCTTCTTCGCCACGACGTGGTACCTGACCCAGTTTCACGACCCGCAGGGCCCCGCTAGCAAGGGTGACATTCCCGAGAGCGCGAGCCCGTCGAACGGCGAGGGCAACTACGAACACGATAGTGCGCAGAAGCATCAGCTGGAGAAGGCGGTGGGCGTGCATGAGTCCGCGGCCAGCATGTGCCTTGTGGTTGGGTTCACGCTGATCCGGATCTACTTTGCGCTGGTGGTCTGCGCGTATGCCAGGGCAGTGGTGCAGAGATATGTGGACATGAACAGCGGGTGGGCCGGTGGGCCCCTGGGTTCGGGAGAGGTGGTTGATGATGATAATGGCAAGGAGGAGGGACACGTTGCGGATCCGTTTGTGGAGGGCGCGCCGCTGGGTGAAGGGTGGCAGGGCAAGATGGGCCGGATGATGGTCGGCTTTGGCAGGGGGTATTGGTTGGGAGGGAGGAAGGAGGACGAGGAGTGGGCGAGGGAGATTGGTGGGCGGTTGAAGGGTGGGAGATACTCTAGGGTATGAGCGGCCACCAGAGTTGAAAAGTGTTTTCGTTCGATGGGACTTTGAAGACGAGGAGACGGCATAGCCAGCAATCATCCCAACATACGACACATCATGCATGGGCATAGAAGAGAGGCATTGGCGCGAAGACAGCCATCCTCACAACGCATTATAAAGAGGAGGATACTGCGACAGAACGCTTTGTTATAGGGGACCAATCTTTCCATGAGGCGGCTTGCTATTGTACATTGAGACATTTGGATTCTTGTACTTGCATCGCATTTGTACAAACTTACCACGGACGGCTGGGGCACCACTATATCCATGATATCTCTATATTTACCTTTCAAGGATACCAGGGGGGGGATTACGGCGCAAAGACATATTTGGGGGAATTAGGCAACGGGTTGGTTTTTTCTGAATTGGTTTATACGCCGTCAGCACCAGCAGGGAGATGTTGGACGACGTAATGATAATAATGGAGGCTCGGGTCATTTGGAGATATATAGTGTATACATGATAAGATAGCTTCATGCAAATGTAATCGACATTTGTGAGAAGCATAGAAATGACACCATAATTCAAAGTCGATATATCCATGTCATTGTGTGTCTTCTTTTTGAATATGCGCAGCAGGGCTTAGCTATGTAACTGCTGGCCCTTCTTGGAGATTACGCCTTGGACATGTCGTTGGCTTGTACCCCCCACCCGACATGCCCGCCTCCCGAGTTGACACCGCCAAGTTGGTTACTTGGGGGAATGTGAGACCATCAAGGTGAAGGAAACAATCAGATGGAGGAGCATGTCACTGATAGAACAATGGGTGGGGATATTCATATATACCTTAGGCCTAGCGCCAGTGCAGAAATGGTTCCAGGTGTGGGTTAAACAGATAGAGTAGGCTCGGGGGATGTTCGGGAATGGGGGGAAAAGGGTTCAGAGGTCCCGTCTTGATATGTCATCCATCCGTCCTGTCAGATTGTTTTCGGACACTACAGTACCTCATGCCCATGTGTGTGTCTCTGTCTCTGCAACTCGGGAATAGAGTCATACATTTCGTCCCATGTCACAGACTAGACCTGAGACCAATGTGGATATCCAAAGATGGGACGGTGTCGGGAGTTGTTCACCTGGAACCACCCCCTGGGATATCGTTGCGAACAGACGTTCACTCTTTTTTTTCCTTCTTCCTCAGCGGTTTGGTTTCTTTTTTTTTGCAGAGTCTGCTGCCTTCCCGAGTCCCCGAGGGCCGTGGCGAGGTCGCGGGGGACATGGATGTCCATCCATCTGTCTGGGGTTTTTTTGTTAGTGCGGTACCTCTGGATACGTCGGGGGTGACAGTGAGATGGACACACACTCGGTTCCTGACAAAGGCAAAAGTTGAAAATTGGAGACTTTCTATTCGCTGGAAGGGTCAGCAAAGAGGCAACTTGGCGAGGGTCAGATTTATACAAAGGCCGGCCAAAGTGGGTGCGCTCATGACTGCGAATGAAGCTAGGCCGATCACGCAATCGCTCCAGACGAAACAACGCAGCCATTCATGTGCCGGCATCACCACAAGTGGACTGCGGGGGCGGCCGGGCAAGAGAGAGTGTTTAGCTGTGCAGTGCTTGTTAGTGAGTTTATAGGTACACTAGAGACAGACAGACATCCATCACCTACCGCGCCCACGGCATTACATAAGTGCCCTCCCACGCCTCGCTGTACGTACATATTTGTCCCGCCCTCCGCATTAGGTTGTGACATTTCTACAAAACCTTTCAATTGAGACTTGTTCTGCCGATTCTCAAGGTTGGGCAGTTCTCTCTTCTCGAAGAAAAAAAATAAGAAAGGAGAAAAGAAGGGAGAGCAAGTCAGTGAATCATCGATATATTCCCTCTCATCCCCAAGGCTCATACCTACCACTGTACTTGTTCCATTCCCTGTGGTTACTCGTTGTTCTCTTTTTCATTATTTTTTTTTTCTTCTTTTTTTTTTTCTCCATTGATACCTCCTTCCTCCTCCCCACACTCCAGCCATCACCAGACTCCAACGATGGCTTCCACACAACAGATCAAGACGCCTCAAGAGGCTGGTGAGTTTGCTTCCCTTGTCCCTCCTTCCCGTTCCCGTTCCTCTCCAGAGATCCTGCACCCCCGCTACATCCGTGCCTTTCATCCAAGTGCGCAATCGGCGCCATGTCCTCTCAACACCAACACCAACACCAAGATATCACGAGATGCATTCGACAGCCAATGAGAACAAACCTAGAATGGAAACCACTACAAAGACAAAATGGCTAATTCGTGACCCAACCCCTAGTCGCCAGAATCGCATACCTGGCCTCCGATGTCGTCGTCTCGGTGCAGCCCTCGCTCGCCGCCGAGTCCGACTTCTCGGCCACTCTCAAGAGCCTCGCCTCTTCCAGGACACAAAGCCTCGTTTCCAAGGCCGCCGATGCCGTCGCCGAGATCATTCCCGTCAGACACAACAACGATCCTCTTCTCTCAGTATTCACACCCATCCGCTCCGGCCGCCTGGTCTCGGTAACAACCACCTCCGAGGTTCTGCTCCCCAGCATCGCCCACCTCTACAAGCTCGCCCAGCTCCCAGTTGTCCTCCACGTTGCGCTGGGTCCCAAGAGCCTCCCAGACTACACCGCCATCACCTCGATAAGGAATTCCGGCTGGACCTTCCTGCAGTCCAACTCTCTCCAAGAGGCTCAGGATCTGGCCCTCACTGCTCATGCTCTCGCCGTCCAGTCCGGCAAGGGTGTTATTCACTTCTTCGACCCCAGCTCCAGCGCTTCCGAGCCGCCCATTGCCGCTGAGGATATCAGCCTTGTTCAGGAGATTCTCAACCTCGACAATGTTCGCCGCTTCCAGTCCGCCTCCATCTCGGGCTCTTCCATCTACGCCAACGACGGCCGCGTAGCCGTTGTCTCTGAGCAGTCCGAGCCTGTTGCCAGCCAGACCATCCTTGATGCCCGCCAAGTTGAGGCCGCTACTGCTACTGCCACCGATTCTCTTGCCCCTGCCCAGGACGGCTCCGATGAGTCCGCCCAGACCAGCCAGGAACAGAGCGAGGCCAGCGAGGCCAGCGCGACCCCCAGTGCCTCCGTCGCCACCACCATCGACGAGCAGGCCCCCGTTGTCACCTCCGAGCACATCTACAAGTACGTCACTGCCATTTGGGCCAAGCTCAACGACCTTGCTGGCAGGCAATACAGCGCTTTCGAGTACTCCGGTCCTTCCAACGCCGAGAACGCCCTCTTCGTCTTCGGCTCCGGCTCTCCTTTGTTCGCTCAGGCCATTGCCCAGGCCCAGTCCGACGACAGCTTCGCCAAGGCCGGTGTCCTCACTGCCCGTCTCTACCGCCCGTGGTTGGGCGCCAAGCTCCTCGAGGCCATCCCCAAGTCGGTTAAGCGCGTAGCTGTCCTTGAGCAGGTCTCGAGGAAGACTACCAAGTGGGGTCCCCTCCTCATCGATGTTCTTACCTCGGTCAAGAGCGGCCCTGGCGGTGTCGAGACCATTGTTGGCCACCAGCTTGGCTACATCTCTCAGGAGACCGTTGTCCAGGCTCTCCGCGGCATCTTCCAGAACCTCACCTCCGAGAAGCCCGTTCAGAACCTCGAGGTTGGCGAGCGCGAGGCCCCCAAGGAGGCTTCCGAGTACGGTCTTGAGAAGCCCAAGCTTGAGACTGCCTACACCAAGATCCTCGACCAGCTCTTTGGTGAGCGCGCCTACATCGCCAACTCCATCGAGAAGGACAACGCCGGTGTTTCCAACACCATCTCCGCCACTCCCGAGTACGGTTTCGGTGCCCTCCTCGCCCGCAAGGAGCGCAAGCAAAAGTTCGTTTCCGAGGTCAAGGAGGCTGCCAGCAACGGCCAGTTCTCCTCTGACGCTCCCAAGCAGGCTCTCGCCAAGTGGGTTGCCAATGCTGAGGACTCCAAGAAGGTCGAGGAGGTCGCTTCTGAGGCTGTCTCCAAGCTCTCTGAGGATGGCTCTGACCTTTCCAAGTCTCTCCTCGAGTACAAGCAGTTCTTCCGCAAGCAGTCCCTCTGGCTCGTTGGCTCCGATGCCTGGTCCTACGACCTCGGCAACTCGGGTGTCCACCACGTCCTTGCTTCCGGCGAGAACGTCAACCTGCTCATCATCGACTCCACCCCCTACTCTGAGCGCGCTGCTGCCGATGCCAACCGCCGCAAGAAGGACATTGGTCTCTATGCCATGAACTTCGGTAACGCCTACGTCGCCTCTACTGCTGTCTACAGCTCCTACACTCAGGTCCTCCAGGCTATGGATGAGGCTGACAAGTTCAACGGTCCCTCCGTCGTCCTTGCTTACCTCCCCTACTTTGGTGAGCACGACTCTGCTCTCACTGTCCTCCAGGAGACCAAGAAGGCTGTCGATATCGGCTACTGGCCCCTTTACCGCTGGAACCCCGAGAACGAGAAGAAGGGCGAGCCCAGCTTCTCTCTCGACTCCGAGCGCATCAAGAAGGAGCTCAAGGAGTTCCTCGACCGTGACAACCACCTCACTCAGCTCATGAAGAAGGAGCCCTCGTTCGGCGCTGTTCTTTCTGAGGACTTTGGTACCGAGATCCGTGCCCAGCAGAAGCGCAAGGCCAAGGATGCTTACAACCAGTTGCTGGAAGGCCTGTTTGGTGCTCCCCTTACCATCCTCTACGCTTCCGACAACGGCAATGCCATCTCCCTCTCCAAGCGTCTGGGTAACCGCGGCCGTGCCCGTGGTCTCAAGACTACTGTCATGTCCATGGAGGACTACCCCGTTGAGGACCTCGCCACTGAGGAGAACATCGTCTTCATCACCTCTACCGCCGGTCAGGGTGAGTTCCCCCAGAACGGTCTTTCCTTCTGGCACGCCGTCAAGGACAACACTTCCCTTGACCTCGCCAACGTCCGTTACTCCGTCTTCGGTCTCGGTGACAGCCACTACTGGCCCCGCAAGGAGGACAAGATCTACTACAACAAGCCCGCCAAGGACTTGGATCGCGTCCTTGCCAACTTTGGTGCTAAGCCTCTAGCTCCCATTGGTCTTGGTGATGACCAGGACCCCGATGGTTTCCAGACTGGTTACTCCGAGTGGGAGCCCAAGCTCTGGGAGGCTCTCGGCGTGGCCAACGTTGATGGCCTTCCCGAGGAGCCTGCCCCGAGGACCAACGAGGACATCAAGATTGAGTCCAACTACCTCCGTGGTACTATCGTTCAGGGCTTGAACGACACTTCCAC